CCCCAAAACCCCAAAACCCCAAAACCCCAAAACCCCAAAACCCCTAATTTTTTGGTTATGATTGAATTGTTTCTCTTAATTTCCCAATTCAGCAACAGATGCTGCTAAAATATAAAATAATACAGTCGATCGGTCATTATGAAAATTTCAACTGAGAATATTATCACATAAAAATTTATGAAGATACCCTCTCTTGAGGCAGCCTCACTGAAGCGACAACGGCTTAAGGGCTATTATAAGCCTCTTCGAATGAAATCTCATTTTCTTGGAAGAGTTCTAAACTCATTTGGTTTAGAAGTCGGTCATAAAACGGCAGAATCTCTGATTTAGGAATCTCCGGTGAATAACTCATCACTGGCTCGATTCTTCTATTTGCCTCTAAAATAGCTACTGGGACTTGGAAATTTGCAATTTTGTTCGGAAGTGGTACTTTAGGCAATAAGCCACTGGATGGTGGCAACTTTGGATTCCTTACTAAAGCACTCGGTCTTTGTTGTGTTTCAATTTTTCTGCTTTCCGGGTTCTTATTATTACTTTTCTGACACAGTATGAAAGATTGTTCGTGGCCACCATCTGTCCCATTGTAGCTAATGAGTTCTTGTACAGGCCTAAACCCAGTATCAATGATGTCGTCAGAGGAGCCAGAGATCTTCGTGACTGGGAGATCTCTGAAATTATTTTGGTCATTGACGAGCTTCAGGATATCCTCTACCTCATTGTTGAAGTCTACCATATCGACGGATATGTTAGCTTTCCTATTCTCCCTTTTCTCTTGGCATCCTGTTAAAGTTGAGGTAGGAAGGACCTACAAAAATAAAATGAGTGTATTAAGTGAAGTTACCTTTTGATCTCTAGTCTCGCTATTTCTATAACTTTTCAGAACGGAAATTCCATTCATAGTATTCTTCTTAAGGATCATCTTCTTATCAAAGCCCCATTTGTATATCTGGGCTGTTTCCAGATTCAGGTTCGCCTTGCAGTATTGTACTGTCTTTCGGCTCCATTTGGGATCCTTCTCAAATTGAGCTTCTAAAAAGGCAACTTCTTCAGGGGTCTTGACCCTGATTAGCCTGGTCTTCTTTATAACATAAAATTCAGACAAATTTAAAGTGAAGTTCTGCTTAGCATCGATTTCTGAATTTGTCTCTGGAGTATTCACTCAGTAAGTAGTATTGGCACTCTCTCCTAAGCAATCTTTTGACTGCTTGTCTAAGGTTGCAGGGGCCAGGCCTCCTGCAACCTGGCAAGCATCCTGATTAAAGATGGCATTCGTGCGTTTAATATTCATTCGTGGATTAATAATTTTAGGTAAAAATTCAATAATACGGCTCCTTTTGGGGTTTTGGGGTTTTGGGGTTTTGGGGTTTTGGGG